TTTCTCTCTTTCTTACACTCTTTTTCTCGCTTTTCTTTCTCTTTATTTCTTTCTTTTTCTTTCATACTTTCTTTTGTTCTCTTTTCTTCCTCTTTCTTTTCTTTTTTTCCTTTCTTTGTTTCTTTCTTTCTTTCTTTCTTCATTCGTCCCGTTTTTAATTTCTTATCTATCGATTTTTGTATTTATTTTTCTTCTCTCTTTCTTTCTCTTTTTCATTCTTTATTTTTCGTAATTATTTTTATTTCTCTCTTTGTCATCCTTTCTCTTTCTCACGTTTTTCTTTGATCCTTTCTTTTCCCAATTTTTATTTTCTTTCTTTTCATTCTTCATTTGTCCATTCTTCATTTCTTATTTATAGGTTTCCTTCTTTATCTTTTTTTTCTTTTTTTTTTCTTCATTTTTCTGTCAAGATTTCTTCATTTTTTTTTTATTTCTTTTCTCTTTTATTTTTATCTTTCTCCTTGGTTTTCGCTCTCTTTCATTCGTTATTTCATTGTACATTCTTTCGATTCCTTATTCATTTTTAAAGTTTTTTTTCTTTCTCTTTTTGTCCCTTTCTTTTTTTCTCTTTCTTTCTCTTTTTCACTGTCTTACACTTTCTTTCGTTTCTTCTTTCTTTTTAACACTATCATTCTCTTTTTCTCCCTTTCTTTCTATATTTCCCTCTCAGTTATTTATTTCCTTCTTTTTTCTTTCTATCTTTCTACTGATTTATATCTTTCTCGTAAACTTCCAGCCATTTCAACCCTTTCTCTCTCCTTCCAAACATTCGCAGCAATAATCTTTCGTTCTTTCCCCTAATTTACTTAGGAGTTCGCATGGTCTTCTTCAAACAAATTAAAGCATTATTTTATCTTTTTCAATCATTATTTTATTCCCTGACCATTTCACTCTCTAATAATTAAAGTACCCGTTCATCCTACACCCCCTCCATCAGGGAAAGCAAATGTTCCCCAATAGGTACTCTTCATTTGCCATAATTGTCGTCCTTTGAGAGTCGACTGACACACTGAATAGAATTTATGCAAGGTGTCAACTGGTGCAATCGATACACGGCCATATCGGAGACACAATCAGCCCTAGGTCATACTGCCAGTAAATATCGATCAGTTATTGATATATTTGCTCTAGGCCTTTGTTATGCAAAAACAAATCGAGTGCGAGGGACTCAAGACAGAAACAACACATGAAAAGGACATTCTCAGGTCACTATAGATTGTTTTCACATTGTTTGAAGATAATAAACGATTTATAATATATATATATATATATATATATATATATATATATATATATATATATATATTTATATATATATATTTATATTTATATATATATATATATATATATATATATATATTTATATATATATATTTCCCCACTCGTTTTGCCCTCAACCGGGTAAGTAAAGCCTCTCTACTCGACCTGTGCTTTACCTCCATACCCGAATCCTGCAGCGCCTCGCAACTATGCCCACTTGGTAACTCTGACCATGCAATAGTATCGGTTAACATCTCCTTTAACTCCTCCCCTATAAAGAACCTCCTACCACTAGAACTTCGTTCTATTATCAACGAGCTGACTGGGACGCGTTCCGTGATTTCCTCCGCGATGTCCCCTGGGATGGAGTCTTTAAGCTCTCCGTCAAGAATGTGCTTCTGAGGTCTCTTCCTGGGTTAAAGCTGGAATCGACGCTTTCATCCCATCAAGGAAATATAGGGCTAAACGCGCTCCTGCCCCTGGTTTTCGGCTGCTTGCTCAGCCGCCATCGCCCATAGGAACCACTACTTCCACCTATACCGTAGCGACATGTCTGACTGCAATAGACGTCTCTTTGCCGCCGCCCGTAACGATTGTAAGCGTGTCCTAAATGATGCTAAGTCACTATTTGCGGCTCGAATGAAGGAACGTATTGCATCTCGCAAATTTGGCTCCAAAGATTATTGGCGTCTCTGCAAGAGTGTATTGAATAAGTGCAAACCCTCTATACCTCCTCTATTCAACCAGTTCGAAGTCTTGACCTCCTCTACCGACAATGCTGAATGCTTTGCTCGGAAATTTTCATCAACTCGACGCTCGACTCTTCTGGTGTACCCATACCTGACTTTCCTCTTAGAACTGAGGCCATATTGAGTGGGTTAAACATAACCCCAACCTTGGTACTGGGCGTTATCTCCAATTTAGATCTCAACAAAGGCGAGTGGTGGAGATGGGATACCAGCCATTGTCTTAAAGAAATGCGCGCCTGAACTGGCGCCCGCCCTTTCGAAACTATACAACTACTGCCTCAAGGAATCTTGTTTTCCTGACTGCTGGAAGTTCTCTTCGATTGTTCCTGTCTTCAAGAACTCCGGCGACCCCTCTGACCCTTCCAACTACCGTCCTATCAGTCTCCTTCCCCTCTTCGGCAAAATCTTCGAAGCTCTAATCAATACCGGGGTGGTTAACCACCCACATCCAATAATCTGCTCTCAGACAAGCAATATGGTTTCCCTTTGCC